TGACACATGAAAAAATGCTCAACATCACTCATCATCAGGGAAACACAAGTCAAAACCACAATGAAATACCACCTCACACCTGTCAGAATGGCTAACATTAACAACTCAGGCCACAGCAGATGTTGGTGAGGATGTGGAAAAAGAGGATCTCTTTTGCACTGCTGGTGGGAATGCAAACTGGTGCAGCCACTCTGGAAAACAGCATGGAGGTTCCTCAAAAAATTAAAAATAGAACTACCTTATGACCCAGCAATTGCACCACTAGGTATATATGCAAGGGATACAGGTATGCTGTTTCAAATGTTTATAACAGCACCATCAACAACAGCCAAAGTATGGAAAGAGCCCAAATGTCCACCGATGGATGAATGGATAAAGATGTGGTATATATATATACAATGGAGTATTACTCAGCAATAAAAAGAATGAAATCTTGCCATTTGCCATCTAGTGGATGGAACTAGAGGGGATTATGCTAAGTGAAATTAGTGAGAGAAAGACAAATATCATATGACTTCACTCATATGAGGACTTTAAGACACAGAACACATGAACATAAGGGAAGGGAAACAAAAATCATATAAAAAGAGGGAGGGGGACAAAACATAAGAGACTCTTAAAAATGGAGAACAAACAGAGGATTACTGGAGGGGTTGTGGGAGGGGGATGGGCTAAATGGGTAAGGGGAATTAAGGAATCTACTCCTGAAATCATTGTTGCACTATATGCTAACTAACTTGGATGTAAATTAAAAAAAAATTTTTAAATACATTTTCTTATTTAGTCCTCTAATTACTATTATAAGTGATAATCCTGTTTTATAGAGGAGAAAACCAGAGCGCTGTGATATTCTATAACTTTTACAAGGTCCTTGAGTTGGACAGCAAAAGCTTGAAATCAAGTCTTCTGATACTATTTTATGATCTTCCTACAATAAACTAACGAGGAAATATGCACAGAAATTATCTATATAATGAGCATACTATTTTATGATGGCAAGGTAACCTGTTTTGTTTTTTTTTAATGTTTACTTATTTTTGAGGGAGAGAGTGTGAGCGGGGGAGGGGCAGAGAGCAAGGAAGACAAAGAATCTGAAGCAGACTCCAGGCTCTAAGCTGTCAGCACAGAACACGACGTGGAGCTCAAGCTCACAAATCACGAGGTCATGACCTGAGCTGAAGTCAGACGC